GGGCAGGGCTGGGCTCCATCATCCCCCTGCAGCTCCTGACCACGCTCACCCCCCTGGAGATGGAGCTGAGGACCTGTGGCCTTCCCTACATCAACCTGGAATTCCTCAAGGTGCTTTGGCCACACTCCTGTGGGACACAGAGGGGGATCCTCCAGGGGAAGGTGGGAGGGGAGAATCTTCTGGTTTTGGTTCCTCAGCCAGGACATCCTTGGGGAGCTGCTTTGCCCCCAGGGAAGTTTATTAAGATTTCACTTGATTCAGGAAATAATAGGGTGGGGTTTGTGCAGAGAGAAGAGTTTGAACTGGGGAAAATTCCTGAAGGGAGAGGGGTGAGCAGCAGTGGACACGTGTCCCTGTCCCCTCAGGCACACACCATGTACCAGGTGGGACTGATGGAGACCGACCAGCACATCGAGTTCTTCTGGAGTGCCCTGGAGATGTTCACGCAGGAGGAGCTGTGCAAGTTCATCAAGTTTGCCTGTAACCAGGAGAGGATCCCCTTCACCTGCCCCTGCAAGGACGGCGGCCCCGACACCGCCCACGTCCCCCCCTACCCCATGAAAATCGCCCCCCCCGATGGCGCCGCAGGTACGGAACCGAGGGAGGGGAGGGAAAGGAGCTGCTGCTGCTGCTGCTCCCAGCTCTGTGCCCCCTTTAATGAACAGTGACAAAGGAGGGGCAGGTGGTTATGGGGGTAAATCAGGAGAGAATTGGGGTTTAAATGATGTAAAGCTAAAATTTCACCTAAAACTTGAACTACATCCAGTGGGGAGTTCCCTGCCCATGGTGGGAGGGTGGAACTGGATGAACTTTAAGATCCCTTCCGACCCAGACCGTTCTGGGATTCCACCATTAAAACTTTGCCCTGTAGAGATGCAGAGACACTTTGCTATTTGTCTGAAATTAAACTGTTGGGAAAATACTGGCATGAGGCCTGATGGGAGAATCACAGAAACATTTGCAATGCAAAAGCCCCACAAGAGGCAAGGATAGGATTTTGTTCACAGAGGTCTTAGGATGAGAGAAGAGATGAGGATCTGACTCCATGTTTTAGAAGGCTTGATTGATTATTTTATGATATATATTATATTAAAACTATACTAAAAGAATAGAAGAAAGGATTTCCTCAGAAGGCTGGCTAAGAATAGAAAAAGAAGGAATGATAACAAAGGCTTGTGTCTCGGACAGAGAGTCTGAGCCAGCTGAGCTGTGATTGGTCATTAATTACAAACATCCAACATGGCCCAGTCACAGATGCACCTGTTGCATTCCACAGCAGCAGATAACCATTGGTTACATTTTGTTCCTGAGGCCTCTCAGCTTCTCAGGAGCAAAACTGCTAAGGAAAGGTTTTTCCATATAAGCTGTCTGTGCCAGTGTTGGTTTGGGTGTAACCCTGGCGGTGCTGTCGCGCAGGGTCCCCGGACTCGCGGTACATCCGCGTGGAGACGTGCATGTTCATGATCAAGCTGCCCCAGTACTCCTCGCTGGACATCATGCTGGAGAAGCTGCGCTACGCCATCCACTACCGCGAGGATCCGCTCAGCGGCTGAGCCAGCAGGGAACGCCTGGAGGTGACTCCATGACTCTGCCCAGTGGAAGGAACCCCTTCAGTTCCCATCCAGCGCCTCCCCTGGGATGAGCTGGGGGTTAATTTATTTCCTGAACCTTCGTTCCCATTACAGTAATTCCCGGAAGACTTCCATTTTGTATTCGTAGACTTTGTGGTGGACTGGTTCTTTTGCTGCCTTGTTTGTGGAATATTTGTAGGATAGTTTAGTAAAGACCGGTTTGTGTATAATTTAATTTGGGGGGAAAAAACCTTTCCACCTGTACATTTCTAATTTTGTAATCCACAACGGTCTGCCCCGTGCAAACACCACTGGCAGGGAGGGCATTCCGAGGCCGGGAGCCCTCAGAGGGGAAGGCTCATGGATCGCTCTCCCTGAGAGGTTTTTGAGTACAAAAATGCCAGGTTTGGGTGTGGGGAGGGAATCACTGCATGGGCAGGAGCAGAGCACAGGCAGGATTTGTGGCACTTGCTTGAGGTTCGAAGCAGAACTTTGCTGCCAAACTGCTTTTCCACCTTTCCACCACTTTCCTTGAAATTTTTCTAAACTCTGACCAAGCACATGGGGGCTGCCACAGGGAACTGGGGGGTTCAGCTCATCACTTTTGGGAAAATTTCTAATAGAACAGTGAAAGGGTTGTGATTCCGTTGGGTTCCTGCCCTAGATGTTCTTGAATGTCTGCTTTGCTTAGCAACGAAATAATTTATTGTAATTAAAATACGAGCAGAACAAAACAGCTTCTCTCCAAAGGGTGTAAGATACCACAGTCCATCCCAAAAATCTGGGACTTTATCCCATTTCCCAACAAGCTCTCAGAACAACCAGGGGGTGCTCAAACACCTGGAACTCGTTTTTGTACTCAAAAATCTTTGATCCAAGAGCAAATTACCCTAAAAACCTCTGACACCCGGCAGGAGGACGAAGCTCCTGTTCTGTGTGGAAAGCTGGGGGGCAGCTGCGGAGCAGGAACAACTCCACGTTTCACTGGTGTTCTGTGGAATGTTCTGGATAGTTCAGAGCAGCCCCTCCACAGGTGTCTCATCCCTCAGCAGGATTTCTGGGACACTCCAGCTCTGCTGATCCCTCGGATCCTGAGTTCTGAGGAAGAGACCATCCCGGAATCCGTCGGTGCTGTCCGTGAGCCGAGTGCCGGCGCGGAGCCGCCCGGGAGGCTCCGGCTGAGGCGACCGAACCTCCAGCTCGGTGTCCCCTGGCTCCAGAACAGCTCCTGGGAATCCCAAATGTATTTATTGTACATTATTGTGAATAGTGGGAACGCTGAGTGCGTGGGATGCGGGAGAGGCGCTGTGAGTTGGGGATGGGTGTCCTTGTTCTTCCGTGAGCGAGTGGGAATGGGAGTGGCAATGCGTGTGCAGCACTCGTAGGTAGTCGTCGGCATCCGGAGTCTCCCAAGCCCGTGGTTAGGAAGCTGTTACCCTCCCAATGCATATTGCCCTGTCCAGGGAACAGATCCATGTAGGAAGAATATTTACTCTTGAATCTCGTCCATTTCCTGGTAGAAGCGTTGATGTAGCTCAGAAACCACTCGGAGCAAGCGGGAACACCTGGAGTTTACAAAGACCAAGGGAAAAGGAAGCCGAAGGGGCGGCTCGGAGCCGGTTTGTTCCCAGACAGGAGAAGTGGGGAGCACTGGCTGGATTCCATGGCAGAGCTGTGGCCCGGGCTGGGTTCTCCCTGGGCTTTCCTGGGGTCCAACCCCGCAATGCTGAGGGGCCGTCCCGGAGGGCTCCGTGTGCCAGCGGTTCCCAAGGCTCCAGTTCCAGCTGTGAGTGAGAAGCTGCTGCTGCTGTGTGTGTGCTCCTTGGGGAAGCACATCCGAGTGGAGCACACTGCACCCGGCCCCGGGCGTGTGCTGGAACGTTACTTGATCCGTATTTATTACAGTTAATTATTTATGATTACAAATAACGAACTTCTCGTCGCTGCCGTTTGCACCTGGGGGTGTAAATGAAGCTTCTTCTACAGGACAAATGTCGCACCAATAACCAACTTCCATCGACTTTGGTTTGTTCTGGAGAACAGGATGAGCCCCACAAGAGGAATTGTGGGAGTTTTTTGGCTTTTTTTTTTTTTTTTAATTCGATGCTCCTGGGAAGGAAGTGCTGCAGCACCTCAGCTGTGGCTCAAATGGCCTTTTAATTAAAGCTTTTCTAATCATCCTTAATTCCTCGTGCTTTAAATGAACTTGACATTGTCTGTACTAGGCTTGTTTGTCGAAGCAAAGATTGGTTTGTGATGATTATTATTATTTTTTTTAATATATATTCATTCAGAATGTAAAATTATACTAAACAATGGAAAAACTCTGGAGCTGGGTATTAGTTCTAGCTTGGTGTGTGTCCATCTCGGTTCCATACACGGCATTAACCTGTAAGTGCTCTTGGCCATCGAGTGTACACCTGCATAAAGGAGATTCTTAACATCCCTGGAGGTGTTTGTGTCCTTCTTTGGGGTGCAGGGAGTGGGATCTGCTGCTGGAGCTGCCTGAGGCAGAGCAGAAAGGGCAGAAAGGGAGCTGCAGCTGCTCTGTTGGAATCCCACTTCTGTGGGATCTCTGTGTGTGCTTGGAACAGGAGGGATGTCAGGATTTTGTACCAAAGGGAAGCAGGGTCACTGCTGGGGTTGTTCCTCTGGGATATTCCTTGTGCCTGAAGCACAGCACAGGCTCTGCCACCTCAGTCATTAATTATTTGTCATATTGAATGATTCCTGACCCACAGCACCCCATTATCCATCCCAAACCTCAGGGACCAGCTCCCATTCCCTGATCTTCCCACAGCCCTTCTCCCCAGGAATGGGAAGAGCAGAGGTTTGGTGTCATCCTGTTTTTTAAATACTTTTTTTATTCTTCTCTTGTCTAAATAAGCACATTTGGTGGGAGCATCTGTAAAATGTCTTTATTTTAGGAGGAAGTTCCCTTCAGCCTTTGTTGGATGGAGCTGGCACCTGAGGCAAGGCCTGGGTAAGGACCCTAATTAGCCAGGGGTGGCCAATTAGCCCTGCCAGTGCCATCTGCTGCACCTCCTTAATTAGGCTGATGCTCATGGGTGTTATACAGGATCTGCTCCACTTCCCAAAGTCCCAGGGATTCCAACAGTAACAGAACCCAGGGAATAATGGCAGGAATGGATCCTCAGCAGGGGCTGTGCTCCTGTGTCACCCCAGGGGACAGATGGCACTGCACAATGGTTGGGACAGCATCAGAGAAATTTTATTCCAACAAACTTTAAAAGCTTTAAACTTGAAAATGCAGCACTGAGAAGCCTTGGAGCCCCAACCCTCACACCTGCTCTGTGTGGGACAGGTCTGGAGCACAGACTGCTCCCTGTTGGTGTCACCAGCTGTCCCCGAGCATTCCAGGGCAGGACTCACCCAGAGCTCAGGGTGGCACAAATCCCATCCCAGGATGGCACAAGGAGCCCACACGGACACAGAACTCAGGTGGGGCCCAAGGTAAGACTCCATTTGATGCCTTGGGGGTGGTGCTCGAGGCAATCAGAGACATAAAAACCTTAAGTTTGCTCTCACAGATTAAAAATAGAGATTTAGAAAACGGTCACTGCCTAAAAATTGAAGCTGAGTGTCAGAATTTGCTTGCAGCAGTCCAGCAGAGCCCAGGGGCAGGGCTGGGTGCTCCATGTTCTCCACAGGCCCTGGCTCACTCCTCCGGGTGTCCGGCTGCTGGGCTCTGGCCTTTTGCCTTATGGGAGGGGGAGAAGAAAAATGCTGTTTTCAAATATGACTGAATAAGAGAGGGCTGTGAAAAGCAGCTCCTTGTGCTGGCAAAGGCACCAGGAGCTGCCCTGCAGCCTCACCTTGGAGCTCCTGCGCCGGAGGCCGCTGCGCCCGTCCGACAGCCCCAGGCTCCTTCCTCCTGTTCCTGTGGCACCAGAGCTGTGGGACAGGGACAGGCTCAGAGGAGGCAAAGCACAGCACAGCAGGGACACAGGGAGAGGCCCTTGAGTCTCCTCTGACCCTGGCCCAGATGTTTCAGCAGCAGAACCAGCTCCTGTTCACAGCCCAGGTGAGAACAGAGCACTCACAGGTAACAAGGCTTTAACCTACATTTTATCCCAGTGACCACTGGGTCTGTTCTATTTTGAGGTAAAAACCTAAATTTGTTGTTTGAAACTCGGATAAGCACCAGCCAGATTCAACTGAGTGAATCTGAAAGCTTTGGAAAACCCTTTCAGGCACAGGAAAAGCCAAGGGGATCCAGATTTGCACCACAAGAAGGGGAATGGAGCAGAAGGAAAGGCGTTACCTTGGCTGGGCTGGAGAGGCTCTGGAGGAGCTGGCAGTGAAGGTTCCTGCCTGGAAGTGCTGAGCAGCTCTTGCCCGGGGTGCTGTCCCCGCTGCAGAGTCACCTCTGTCCTTCCGTGTCCCCTCAGTGCCACTCCCCTTGCCGGGCCTGCCCCGCGCGGCCGGAGCGTCCCCGGCTCTCCCAGGAGGGGACAGTGCCGCGTTCCCAGCCTTGGCCACCTCCGTTCTCAGCCTGGTGCCTGCAGCAGGGCACAGCCCCAGCTGCCCAGAGCCCTCTGCGTGCCAAGGAGAAACATCTCCTGCAGGGACAGGAACAGCGACTTCAGCACCACGAACAACCCCAGTGCCCACCCCAGGATCCCCAAGGGCAGAATTCCAGTGATTTAATCCTCCCTCCCTGAGCCCAGCCCAAGAGCAGAGGATGAAGATTTCTGAGATAGAGCAGGGTAGGAGAATCTCCCCAGGGAGCTCAGGCTGTGCTCTGCCCACACCTTGGTGCCGGATCCGTCGCCGAGCCGGCTCTGGTGATTCCCGTCTGTCCCCGTGGGGCTGGGCTGGCACCTCCTGGGCTGCAGTGTCACCTGTGGGGCTGGCAGGGCGCAGGTCACAGTGGTGCTGCACAGAACACACAGGGCTGGTCAGGTGGAAATCCCTGGGAAAACTGCAGAGCAGCAGCACTTGGGGATGTTACAGTGAGTAGGGAATTGTGGAATCCCAGAATGGTTTAGAGATCTTAAAGCTCATCCAGTTCCATCCCCCTGTCAGGCTGGACTGGGCTTGGAGCACCCTGGGTTACTGGAAGGTGTCCCTGCCCATGGCATGGGGGATGGGATGGGCTTCAACATCCCTTCCAACCCAAACCATTCTGGGAGTCTGTGATAAGCTCTGAAGTTTGATCAGATCTCATTCCCAGATTTTGCTGTCCCCCAGGAGAGGAGAGGCCCAGAACAACCAACCCAAGCCCAGCTTCAGCAGCTTGTTGGGACAGGGATGTGACTGAACCATGGCACAGAGAATGGGTGAGCTCAGCATTCTCCTATCTTGTCTGGAGCAGCAGCAGATTCCAGAGGACTCTTCCCTGGGCAAGCCACTCCCAGAGTCTGTTCCCTCCTTCTCCTCCCACCCCATTTCACCCTTGTGCTCCTCTCTCCCCTCAGCTGACTCATCCAAGCTTCAACTTCATTTTCTGTGTGATTCAAACATTGTGATTGTGCAACTTCAGGCCCTTTTGTTTCGTTTCATTACAAGAGCTTTCAAATTAATCCAGTACTTTTCAGGAGGAGCCTCAGTGCAGCACAACCCTTCACAAGGATCCCAGAGCTTTGTGTGGGAATATCTGAGCCAGGGGCGGCTCCCTGAATTCCTGGAATTTGCCACAAGAGCCCCTGGGACTGGGCCCATCCTCAAACAATGGGATGTGACAGCAGAGTCTGTCCTGTGCAGTACCTGGTGATGAAAGAGAATCTCCTCCTCCAGCTGGATGCCACAGAATTCACATGGAATCATGATGTCTCCTTCTGCCTGCACAGCTTGGGGCTGGGCTGAAGAAACAGTCCTGTGGCTGTTGGACTCTCCACTGTATTCCCATGGACTTGGAGAAGAACTTCTCTTGCTGAACGAGGCAAAGGCACTTGCTGGGTTACACCCTGTCTGTTACACAAACAACATGGAAAAATCACCTTTCCTGATGAGCCAGGTGGGCACAGAAAACCACTTGCCTTGGCAAAGACCCAGAGTTCTCCCAGCGTCACTCACACCCTTCCACACCCTCCCAGTGACAGCCACAGAAAGTCTTCACTGCAAACCCCAGGACACAAGGAAATCTCAAACCTGGTGAAGGATCAGATCTTCAGCAGGACACAGCTCCTCACAGAACTCACAGGGCAACATGGTCATGTCCTTGTCTGTAAGAGAGGGATGGATTTCATCCTCTGTGGTGCCTGATAAAAACCTCCTGCTGCATCCTGAAACCTGTGATGCCATTTCTCCCTCAGAGCAAGCTGCACTCCAGGTTCCCCCAGATCCTCCTTCCCACCATTTTTACTTCCACAAGAACCTTGTTCCCCACCTGGGCTCCCACCATACACCAAGGTCAGAGAGCCACTAATTTAACAAGCTTTTGTTTCTTCACTTGCTGCTTTGCTTTAGGAGTCTCAAAATGACTGATTTCCACCTTTTAAAATACTGAGGTAATCTTTAATATTCCCAACCCAAATTTTCCTTTTCCCTTCCCCTCAAATTTAAGGATAAACCTCACCACAGCAGTGTTTATACCTATTTTGCTGTGGTTTGATGTGCTAAAGGAGCCTGGAGAGTCACAGGAGAAGATGCTGGACAGCTCTGTTGCACCAAGGTGGGCAGATTGTCCAGGCTCTTTGGTGTAGTCACATTCCCAGAAATCCCTGGCAATGTCAGCTGCAGTGTTATGCTGAGCATTATTCTCACTCTGCAGGCTGAGAGCCAGCACATAGTCCAGGTCAGCATTCCAGTCTTCAGCAAGTTGGGAGTGAAGGAGTTCAGGTCTCTCTGGCTCATCCCCTTTAAAAGAGAAATATTGTCAATTTGGGAGAACATCAAACCTGCCACCAGCAGCTCCCTCTGGACATCAGACCCAGCCCCAGGGTTTCTCTTGGAGTTCAGCATCTCAAAGCCAAGGGCACCTCTAACAAATCCAGGAGGATGGAGAAAAATCATAGCCCAAATTACAGGGAGCAAACAACTCCAGTTTCATTTTTCTCAAAGCCAGTTACTTTGAGACAGAAAAAAATGGAGCAATGGGGTTTTTTTCCCAGGCCCCTCAGCACTCCTGGCTCACACCTCATTCCATGGGTAACCATTCCCCCTGGTGCCTCTGGAGCATTCACTATCCTGTAATTCCACAGAAAGGAATCACAGAACCTCACACCTGGACCAGCTACCAAATTACAGCCAGTTCTTCTTCCTTTGTCCACTTTTTCCTTACTTTTGATTTCTTTGGGCTGCTCCTGTGAATGCCCTTAAGATTCTTGTCCTTAGGGGTTCTGGTCCCTTAAGATTTTGTTTTTGGGGTTCTACCCCTCAAGATTCTGTCCCTTAAGATTCTGTCTTTAGGGGTTCTGTCCCTAAGGTTCTGTGTCTTTTAAGATTCTGTCTTCAGGGGTTCTGTCTTTAGGGGTTCTGTGTCCTAAGATTCTGTCTTTAGGGGTTTTTCTTTAGGGGTTCTGCCCCTTAAGATTGTATTTTTAGGGGTTCTGTGTCTTAAGATTCTGTCTTTAGGGGTTCTGTCCCTAAGGTTCTGTATCTTTTAAGATTCTGTCTTTAGGGGTTCTGGTCCCTTAAGATTCTGTCCTTAGGGGTTCTCCCCCTTAAGATTCTGTTTTTAGGGGTTCTGCCCCTCAAGATTCTGTCCCTTAAGATTCTGTCTTTAGGGGTTCTGTCCCTAAGGTTCTGTGTCTTTTAAGATTCTCTCTTTAGGGGTTTTGTCTTTAGGGGTTCTGTGTCTTAAGATTCTGTCTTTAGGGGTTCTGGTCCCTTAAGATTTGGTCTTTAGGGGTTCTGTCCCTAAGGTTCTGTATCTTTTAAGATTCTGTCTTTAGGGGTTCTGTCCCTGCAGTCGTGTCCTTTCAGGGGTTCTGTCCCTGAGGTTCTGTTCCACAGCCCCTCCAGGTCTCTTTCCCCAGCTCTGGCTCCTCCCCAGCCCATCCCGGTACCTGCTCCCCGCCGCCTCCCCGCGGCTCCCCCCTCGCTCCGGGACGCGGTGGCGCTGTCCGTGTCCGGTGTGTCCGGTGTGTCCCGAGTCCCGCCGCCCCGGGCCGCCCTCTCCGGTATCTCCGGTGTGCCCCGAGCCCCGCAGAGCCGCGGGTGCTCCGGCAGCTCCCTGAGCAGGACGTGGCGGCCGCAGCGGCCGCAGGGCTCGGTCCTGGCCCCGCAGTAGAGCTCGTGCTCCTGGAGCTTGTTGAAGGCCAGCTGGATGTCACAGAACTGGCACAGCACGGGCCGCAGGGGACACGAGGATGCCTGGGGAAACACAGGGGGTTACTCTTCCCACAGGGACACGGAGTTCCCTCAGCTTTGGAGCTCTGCTGTGTCCTCAGCCACATCAGGAACAACCTGGAGTGAGCTACAACGTGGGAATGGGTTGGAGGCACAAACTCAGCAGCTGGAGCTCTCCAGATGCTCAGGACATGGTTTTAAATCAGTCAGGGTAACGTGGAGCTTTCTGGATTTTCCTTTTCCCCTCCCCTCAAATTTTATTCCTATTTTGCTGTGGTTTGATGTGCTAAAGGAGCCTGGAGAGTCACAGGAGATGTTGGACAGCTCTGTTCCCCCAAGGAGGGCAGATTGTCCAGGCTCTTTGGAGTTTCAGATACAACCCAAAATCCAGTTGTATTCCATGAGCACAGATAAAATCCACATTGGTTTTTAGGGAACAGACTGACACCTCATTTACTGCTCAACAAGAACTGCCTGGACATGTTCTTTACCCACAGTGAACCCCCTTCAGAAGGGGTTAAAAATAGATAAAATATGTGATATTTGCAGATGCTGCACTAATAAATTATCATCATTTGCTTTATAATCCAAAAGCACCACACACACACACACACACAGAGGCAGGATTAGCTACTCCCAGGGTTTAGAACTGGACAGATTTCCAAAGAAAATCCTTTTTCCCTCAGCAATCAGCAGGCTGAGGTGGCAGCTCCAGAGCTGTCTCTAAAGGAGCCCACAGGAAAGGAAGAGATGACATTTATAACAAGATTGTCTGTGACAGCAGCCAACTAGATTCAGAACTCAGAAAATCCCACTCTGGCCTATTTTAGTTTATTTTACAGGCTATTTTTAAAGTCTGTTTGGACAGATTGAATTATTAAAAGTCACATAATGGCTCCAGCAGAAACATGAAACAGGAAAGGAATGAAAAAAGTCAAGTCAATCATACTTTAAATAGCTATTTTTCAACTGGCAAGGACAAAAAAATCTCCAATTATCACAGATAACCCTTTGATATGAAGCCCTGAGTGACTCCAGGATTTTAGGGCAGTTTCCAATCCCTTCTCCCAGAGGGTGTGAGTTTAGGAGCATCACTCCATAAAGGATGCACAAGCCCCAGGCTGACAGAAAAGCTCTGGAATGATCAGTGAAACACCAGAGCATCCCCCAAGAGCTTAATAATATAAACTCCACCAACCTCATGATCCTTCAGGAGGCTGCTCTCCATCTTCATCCTGCACTTGCAGGTGACCTAGAGCAGAGAGAGCCCATGAGAAGGATTCCCAGAGGAATGAGCAGCTCCAGAGCAGAGGTGTCTCTCACCTGCACGTGCTCAGACTCAATGTGGTTCTTCATCTCAGACTTTGGGACGGAGTCGCTGCAGTAGGGACACATTTCAATGTTTCTTCTACAGTGGATTTCATGGATGATGAAATTGACTGCAGGAATGTCCTTTTTGCTGTGAGAAAGTCGCTGAGGTTACTGAGCAGAAACACACCAACAGCAAATCCAAGCAGTTGTTCACAACAAAAAGATAATGCTAAGAAAGATGGCAATGAATTCATGGTTTGAAGTGAGCAGAGAAAGGCCCAGCCAGGCCTGGATATTAATGTATTTAACATGCAAAAGTGACACTGCATTCAGATAAAATCCAGGTGGATTTATTTCCTTATGTGAACAGCAAATCTGGCACAACACAAACAAGTTATCGCCAGGGATCAAGTTAATAAATTAGTCTGAGAAGATAAAAGTTTCCTCCTGAAAATAACTTGGCTCTGAGAAGTCAAACAGTGCTTTGGAAAGCAGTCAAACTTTTTTTATACCTGACAGATTCTGTTCCAGGATAATGGAACAGAATGGTTTGGTTGGAAGGGACACCCTCCACAGAGCAGGCTGCTCAGAGCCCCAGCAGTAACAACACTGCTCTGCACCTCAAAATTCCCAATTCACCTCATTTTACCCCAAAATTCCCCAATTCACCTCATTTCTAAGATGTTCATTTTCTGTCTTGAAACCAAAAAGAAAAGGACCAAAATGAACTGAGGCACCTGGAGCTCAGTCCTTCCTCCTGCAGCATCATTTCTACATGGATCATGCCCTTTCCAAGAAATCCACCTTGAAAACACCTACATTAATTTTATAACCTTTTGTTTGCTAAACCCACAGCTGTTCTCTGCCCTGCCAGATCCCAGGCACCCAAAAGCCTGGCAAAGCAACAAAGTCCAACAGCAGCGACTGAACTGCACAGAACAAACAAGCCAGGCTGATGTTGCAAGAAAGTGTCTGGATTCTGATGTCTCTTGGGGAAAAACAACTACAGAAAAAATTCATTTCTTTAGCTGCTTGAATTCGAGACATAATTTGTGAGGCGGCTCCTTATCAGCCACTGGGCTCTGCAGAGAGGTTTAATCAAAGAAAAACTTCCACAACAACCCTGCCCACTGATCTATCCTCGTATTTCTGCTCCTGAGCCAGGGAACTGCTGAAGAAGAATTCGGAATCGTGTCTTTTGTGCGGGTCTCGCTGAAAAGCGAGCCTGGATTTCCACCCCAACGTTTCGGTTTCTATTTCGTTCCCTGCTAAATCAGAAGGGAAATGCGACGCCCAAACGCTCAGGAAAGGCCCTACGGCCGTCCCCGCTATTTCACCGCGTTCCGGGGAGCTGAACCCCGGTGTACCGGCGGGTTCGGTGAGGGCCGGCCCACACCGAGCCCGACCCTCACCGACCCCTGGCCCTCACCGAGCCCGGCCCCGGGCTGGCCCTCACGGACTCCGGCCCTCACCGGGGCTGGCACTCACGGACCCCCGGCCCTCACGGACCCCCGGCCCTCATCGACCACGGGCCCCGGGGCTGGCCCTCACCGGGGCTGGCACTCACGGACCCTCGGCCCGGCCTTACCAGTTGCCGCAGAGCCGGGACTCGGCCGCGGGCACGGCGGCGATGGCCATGGCTCCGTGCGGTGCCCGCTCCCCTCACAGCCCCGGGCACCGGGCCCGGCCGCTGCCGCCTCTGCTGCGAGGGACCGGCGAAAGCGAAAGCGCGGCCCTGCGGGGATCGCTCAGGGCTGCCGGTCCCGGGTCCGCCGGCCTGCTGAGGGTCGGTTGAGAGTGCCGGTGTCGGGTGCCAATCTCCGGTGCCGATCACCTGTGGCCCGCCCTGAGTCGGGTCAGGTCAGGTCAGGTCAGGTCGGTGCCGATCTCTGACGCCCCCGCCCGTGGCGGTGCCGGTGTGCAGTGCCGGTACCGGTGCCCGGCGGGTGCCGGTGCCCGCCGAGTCCCGCTGCCCGCGGCGGCCCCGCCCCGCCGGCCCGTCCGCCGTTGCCCGCCCCCGGCCGCGGCTGCGCGCTGCGTTCTGCGCTCTCATCATGGCGGCGCGGGGCCATGTGCAGGACCCCAATGACCGCCGCCTGCGGCCCATCTACGGTACGGACCCGCCGCGCCCCCGCCGCCGCCGCCGCCGCCCCGCCGGGCCCCCCCCGGCCCTCCCGCGCTCCCGGCCCCGCGGGGGCTGCGCGGCTGCGGCGCCCGCCCGGCCGGGCCGGGGTCCCGCGGCGCCCCGGGGCTGCCCCTCGGCCCGGGGGGAGCGGAGCCGCCGCCGGCCGCAGCCGAGCTGACCCCGGCCGGAGCTTTCTGCGCTGCCGCGGTGGAGCCGGGAGCGGATTAATCCCCGGAGGAGCAGGCGCGGATGCCCCGGAGTTGTGTTGGATGTTGTGGCACGGAGCGGTGACGCTGTTGGGGGATTGATTGGGAGGCAGGAGAGCGGTGGAAGGGGACGGTGTCGTTGGGAGTTGTCCGGTGTTGTTGTGTCCCCGGGTATTTCCGAGGGTGTTCTGCGCTCTTGGGGTTGCTTCGGAGGTTGTAGGCAAAGCTTGGCTCTATGCAAATATGGAGAAATAAAAGGAAAACACTTCCCCGGGCTACGGTAGCGTTTCGTCCCTAAAACTGAAGATTTGATGGAGATTGGGAAAACGTTGTTAACTTTTTCAGCAGGGATGAAAACCTCTCCCTGGAGACGCGGAGAGCTGCCCTGGTTTGGGCTGGGCGTGCTTGGGATGTGCTTTGCTGGGCAGAGGGATGGTGCAGTACAGACTGAGCCCGTGGTGGGTTCCAGGAAAAGGGAGGGAGATGGTTTTGTTCGATCAGAAGTGTTCAAGTTCGGCGCAGTTTGTCTTTATGTAACGATTTTAAGGTTTTTTTTCCTTAGTTTTCTATCCGTGCTGTGATTGGCAGTTTCATTGATGTGCAGTTATTTTTGTCATAACCTGTGTGAGAAACGGTGCTAACAGAAAAATCTGGGTAAATTCAGCCGATGTGGAAGCACATGATATTGAGCATCTCGCTTTGTTCATTTTGGAGAGAGCTTTGGAATTTCTTTCTGCTCGTTCTGGAAGGGATTCTCTGCAGTGCAAGGCTTGATCTCAGGCTGTGGTGCTGCAGAACCCGAAATAAATAAAGTGTGTGGTGAGCACACACAACTTCCCCGCCTCAGCAGCTGGGGAGGTGCAGGGTGAGGTCCAAGGTCTGCTCTGGGTTCCAAGGTGTGCCTGGGTTTGTGCTGTGATTCCTCGACAGCTCTGGTTATCTTTGATCTTGACCTGTTCTCCCTTCACCTGAAGGTTCAGGTGTTTCATTTCCAGCCTTTGAACATCCCCACCTATGAGCTAGCATAGGCTGAAGTTTATTTTCATTTTGCTTCATTTCATTTGGAAGCTGCTTTGACTTCCAACAACTTGACTGGTTAGGAAAATGCAATCTCTTCGTTCTGGTGTGTTTTAGGGAGGTTTGAGGGTTATTTGATTTACTTTGGAACACCGAGAGGTGAGATGTTCTTGGCACAGCTGTTAATCCCAGTCAGGCAGCTCAGCCTGGGGGATAATTTGTGTGTCACTAAACTGGGTGACAGAGCCTTAAAGCAAGAAGCCTCTGATGTGCTGTTGAAACCTCTTCACTGAGAAATCCCCAAAGTTTTCATGTCAGAGGTGACACAGAGGTTTTCCTAAGTTGAAATTTGTTGCTCCAAACTGGATTTCATGCCACAGTGTTTATTTTGGTGAGTGTGGAAGGGCTGCCTCGTGAGAGTTTTGCTGTGGCTGGGCTCAGGAGCCCAATTAACTCTGCTTTAAATACACAGCATCCACCTGGCCACGGGAGCAAATGTGGGAGCTGTTGGACAGAAATCTGTAAATCAGAATAGATGCACAGTTTGTGCTGAGGGTTGCCAAGGATCACCCCTCAGTAAAAGAGTTCATTTACAATGAGAATGAGAGGTTTGATGAGGAAAAGGTGTGGTGTGATTTCAGTTACCTGCAGGAGAGAGGCCAGAGCAGTGTGAGCAGCCCCTGGCACATGAGGGACAGCAAAGCTGGGTTTGCTGAGGGAGGAGAGATTTTTGAGGGAAGGGGAGCACATAGGGGTCGTGTCCTGGTCTAAAACTGCTTGTTTGTAATCGTGTAATAATCTGAAAATTGTAATTCTGAGCTAAAAAAGGAGAAAATGGTCTGGGGATAGTGGAATGTCCCCCTAGGAAATATTGATGCTCCACAGCTGTGCCTTCAAAACCAGTCTGGAGGAAGGGTGGTGGCACTCCAGGGGGACAGGTTTGCTCACCCTCAGCTATGGATGCTGTGGACAAGTATTTCCCACTTTGCTGGAGTGTGTGTGATTGGTTTTCAACCTCCTGCCTGTTAACAGTCATTGAAAGTCTCCCAAAGACACACCAAATTAATTTCTACTTTTCCTGCTAAAGCACTGGAGCTGCAGTGCCAGCAAAGAGCTGTTTCTGCAGAATCCTCTCTATTGTGGCTCTCTTTTGTTGCTGTAATGATCTGTGTGGAGTAATTACAAAAGCTTGTTTGTTTGAGTGACTAAAACCAGTACAACGAGATGAATCCTTCATTCCTGAAATGACAATTTCCTGAATGTTTGGCTTAGGAGGAGCTGCACAGGGAAAATGTGGTTTGTGGACAGCAGATGCTCCATGGTAAAATTGGAGGTGGCTTTCCTGAGTGGCCTTGGTGTTGTGGTGTGATTCTGTGTGTGCTCTTCCTCTGCAGATTATCTCGATAATGGCAATAATAAAATGGCAATCCAGCAAGCAGATAAACTGCTCAAAAAGCACAAGGACCTTCACTGTGCCAAGGTGAGTGGGGCTGGGGGGCACTGAGCTCATTCTGCCTGAGTCTCAGGGTGTTCCACTGTCCCTTTTCCCACAGTGATTCCTGAGCCCTCTGGAATGTCTCTGTTCCAGCCCACCTGCGTCTTGTTTGTCTGAAAATGGCCTGGTAGGGACTGGAGTGTTGGTTCCACCTGGGCTGATTGTCAGCCCCACTCCAGGTGACCTGGGCTTTAAAAATGCCTCTTGGAGCCCTGGGGTTGGGATCAGAACATCTCCTTGGGAGGAAATGGCTGAGGAGAACATTCCAAGGTGAGCAGGTGTCCCAGAGGAGCTGTGGGTGCCCCTGGAATTGTTCAAGGCCAGTTTGGAGCATCTTGGTCCATAGAAATGTCCCTGCCCATGGCAGGGTGTGGAGCTGGGTGATTTTAAGGTCCCTTCCAACCCAAAGCATTCCAGGATTTTGGAGGCATTTGCTCTTTTGCTTGTTCACCACCTTCCCTACTGAGGGAAAGGCTTCTGTTCCTCCCTTTCCTGCACTTGTGACTCTCTTTCTGCTTTTCTCATTTCCCTGGGGGTTTCCCTCTGCACTTCACTCCACTTCTACATTTTGAAAGCTTCCCAAGCTGCAGAGAGTGGCATTGACCTGAATCTCATTTCTGTCACTTTCTCTGGCCAGTTTAAAAAGAAAACTAAGGAAAATTGCCACTTTGCAGCCTCCAGGTAGAGAAACCGTGTGGTGATGCCTCAGGGCAACCTCAACATTTATTAAGAAGTCAGATCCCCTCTTTGATGCTGTTGCATTTGAGGGTTTTCCTCTGCAGCCACATGGGTTAAAAACTGAATCAATCCTGGAGTTGTGCAGAGGGAATGAGGTGGTTGGGCTGTTCCCAGCAGGACTGAGAGGGTTTCCAAATGCAAACTGTGATTGTGAGAGCTGCCTGTGTTGTGCCCACAGGTGCTGAAGGCCATTGGCTTGCAGAGGACTGGCAAGCAGGATGAAGCCTATGCCCTGGCACAAGAGGTGGCAGCACTTGAACCCACAGATGACAATTCCTTGCAAGCACTGACCATTCTGTACCGGGAAATGCACAGACGTGAGTTTGCTCCTCTCCCAGAAATCTCTTTGTGTTCTTCTTCCAGTGCCCCACAGTTTGGTGGGAACCGTGTAAAATCCAGGATTTGTGTATTGAGAGACTGTTAATAGGCTCAGAATTGAGGTGATGCCTGTAAGGCTGGAGTGATCTTCATAAAGCAAAAAAAATCCTCATTTGAACTTCTTATGAACACAATTATGTGGCAGGTCCTAAATGAACCATGTTGATAATGATCCAGCAGCCTGAGAGTTCACTTCTGTTTGTGAAACTACAGGAATTTGTTATCAGTAGAGTGACAGAGATTGCAAATCCTACAGGGTGTGATGAAAGGCCTCAGGAAAGTGGTGAAAAACAGGAGGGAAATCCTAAAATCCTGACCTCCCAGTTTGGCCACATCAGCTTTGTCAGGTTCCTCACAGTGATTTGTATTTTCAAAATCCTGAATCATCAGCGTTGGAGGGATGGAGGAAAGTTTCCTGTGCTTTTCTGGAAGATGCCAGCCCTCCTGTCCTGCCTTCCTGCAGCTTGAACAGTTTGCTGTTGTTTCTGGCAGCTCCTTGGGGAGTGTGGTGTGGTGGTACCAGTGTTTATTGTGGAGCTTGGTGGGTGGTTCCACCAAAATTTATTGTTGAGCTGCTGGAGAAATGATCAGGGGGTGAAACAGCTTCAGAAAAAGGTGTTTGCATCAGTCTGCAGAAGAGAATTGGTTATGGTCCCCCAGTTGATTCCTTTGTGTGTCTAAAAGCATCATTTGTTGAGTAATACCAACATTTTTGTGTATTTTTGACTTCAGTATAAACCCCTGTGAGTGACAAGAGCCTCTCTGTGATTATTAACAATTTCCATTAAGCTGAGCTTTGTAACTTTCAGCTCTGTAGCTCAGGAACTGGTGGGTTTGAGGCACTTCCACTTTTGGTCCTGCAAGAAAATTGTAATTAGATGTTTTCTATATTTGTGTCAGGGATGTATAAACTGTGTGAAAGACAAATTACATTTGTTTTTCTGTTTCTACTCTGAGCTGCAGTTGTTTGTGTAAGAAAAAAGAATATGGAAGGATGAAAGTGT